CATAATTCTACAGCCAATAAACATCATACGGAATATCAATTACACTCATAAATCTAGTTTTTGATGGGCTTTAACCTGGTATAAATACTTTCTGATATTATCTGTCCTTTAGGTCGTGTAGGGGGGGGAGAAAAAGGTTATGTAACACCCTGTACATCTTGAGTAGGCATTCATCGGTTTTGGTTATTAACCGAAAACTGACCACCAGTTATAACCGAAGAAATTTTATAATGTGCTCAGTTTTGATTGTTACTGTACTGGTTTTCAAAATCTGGATAAACTGGAATCAGAATTGCTGATTTTTCGCACAGATGTGAATATAACTTTAGATAGCAATTCTTAAAATATTTCTAGTTTAGAATTAAATTATACGTCGATTAGGATTTTTGAGAAGCCATTAATTAGATAAAGAAAAATGACTAATTTTAAGTGAGAAAAATGCACTGCTTTTTCATAACAAGAAAGCATTTTTATGCGCCGCGGCTCGACCAAAAATGTAGAAAACGTTTCGCCACCTGCTCACAAAAATGCGGTCTTCTAATAAAATATATTAGTTAGCTTCTTTGTGTTTATAAATATAATATTCTAAAAAATACATTAATTTGTCTTGCTTAGTTGGCCGTTTTCGTCTAATTAATGGGCTTCTACGGAGATAGTAATGGATATTCAAAAGATAATTTGCCAAGTTTCTTCTTCCAATGTCAACTATTAAAAATACTTACTTGCTGAGAAAAATTCTAATTAGTACGCAGACTACAGAATTAATTAAAAACTAATGGGTCTGCGTAAGTAATATCTGCGCGACAAAATCAGCAATTCTTATTTCAGTTTATCCAGATTTTGAAAACTAGAACAGTAACAATCAAAAGTGAGCACATGATAAAATTTCTTCGGTTATAATCGATGTTCGGTTATTTCGGTTGCGATTTAACCGAAACATTGGTCCTCTCAATCTTGAGGACCTTTGATTCTATAAAACGAATTAGTAATGAAACGACAAATTCTAAGAGAAATAAGTACAAAGTAATTAGAACACTTTCGAATACTAATGAACAGCAAAGAATTTTACCTCCAAATGTGTGAGAATTCAAGCGCATATAGGCTGTTTATTATTAGACTCGATCAAATCAATTTTTCTACGAATCGTTACAGTAGGATCATCACTGTTCTGAACATTACAAGCAGCGGTGATCCTCATATCACTGCAAGACACTATCAGAAAATTTAAAAAGTGGACTCATTGTGCATAGAACTCTTTTACTATCAGACTATATGTGTGTAAGAAAACTTTTAAAACAAAGAGAGAAAAATTAGCAAAATTTAAAACATAGAATTTATTAGCCTTCTAATTTTAAAACCTATCCAACCAATTGTTCGAGGGGTACTTCGAGTGCTCGGAAATATGCTTTCGATGGGCCTTCGTCGAGGACTCAAGCCCTCGGAAAATGGCACTTCGGACCCTCGATATAAGCTTTCGAGGGGTATTTCCGAGCCCTCGTCGGATTCCTAGGACTTCCGAGGCCTCCTCGCACCCTCGAAAGAGCGAGGGCTTGGAAGTCCCGAACATCGCACCTCTGAGCGACGAGGACTCGAAAGTCCCGAACATCTGTATTCGACGGCTCAAAATTTTTCTCGAGGGCTCGCTACCTAACTAAAATTCAAGGGATCGAAATTAATACCCCACGAAAGCTTATATCGAGGGTTCGAAGCGCCATTTTCCGAGGGGTCGAGCTCTCGGCGAGGATCTGTTTTCGAGTACTCGCTACACCCCCTGAACGACTTTTTTCATCTTCATGGGTATAACCCCTACTCACTGTGAGCAAAATACCAATTTACAGAAAAACAAACTAGCAAGGTTAATCGTACATCTCATTCTTTTCTTCTTCTAAAGATACAATTGTTCGTTCATCAACATTTTCAACCACTACTGTGAACAATGATGTTCTTTACAACATTGAAGATCGTTATCATTCAACGTACGAACGTGAAACATCGTTTGAATCTTTTCCAAACAATATACAAACATTAAAAACTAATGAAATTCTTCAAAGTTTTATTAAAAAAACTTCAAAATTATTTCGTATTCAGCTTACAAACGATTTATTAATTGTCGGCTACAGTGACTATATTTTAATTTTACGTCGCACCTCTCAAGATCGTTTTGTTTATGAATATATCATTAGTGTAAAATATAATAGTCAAGATGAAAGAGCAATTAACAGTTTCATCGCATACAACAATCAACTCTGGATATCAAGTGCAAATATTCTATCAATTTATAATATATCAGATAAAACGTACAAGTTATTAATGAAAACAGCTATTGATGATGAGAATGATACATGTGAATCGATGATAGTATCAAATGGATTTATTTGGTGTGGTTCATCACGTGGTAAATTATACGTATTTCGAATGGATAATTATGATTTATCAAAATCATATGATGGACATCATGATAAAATTCGATCATTATGTGTAATGACTGATAAATATTTGTGTAGTGGATCTTCATCAAATGATACATCAATTGCCATATGGAAAACACAACAAGAAACAAAACGAACTTCTCTTGCTACTGTTTCTCTTTCATCCAATCCGCTTACTAATACTATGACACGACGAAGTTCAACTCTACGAATATTACAAAACTTTTTATAATTTACCTGTTAAAAGTTCAAAATAGGATTTTGCTATTTTCGTTGTACGATCCATTTTATCGTTTCCAACACGTAAAATAAATTTTGACGAATTCATATATTTGTATAATAAATGAGATAAAATCTAAGAAATATGTTCATTATTATCTTTGTAATTTATTATTTATAACAAAAAAAAAAAAAAAAAAATACTCACTGATCGTTTAATCATTTGATGTTTGATATTATTCTTTTGTTCATATTTTAATTCTTCAATTTTATTTAGTAAATAATTTAATGATAATGGCATAAAACTGAGACAACGTTTCAACGTTTGAATATATTCAATTACACAAGATTTTTCATCGAAACGAACTAAAATGGAGGATCGTATGTATTAAAGATGAAAAGAATATTAATTATATTGTTCAACATACATTCAACAACGTCTCCTAAAGCTTTAACAATTTCTAATTGCACTTCTCGACATTTTACTTCTTTATCACTATTCATTTCAAATAATGTGAACACAATTGGCTCAGTACATCTAGAATAAGATAAATATTTATTTTATATTCTTTGAATGAAAGATGAAAACGTTACTTGACGAAAAAATCTTCCCAATAATCCATCATAAACACTAACCAATCTGGTAACTGAAAAAAAGAAATAGATTAAAAAATCTTACTAGATTTAAAGTATCTTCACAACTGGAAGAAAAAAATTTGTAATATTGTCGATGAATGTACTCCATTTCTGCTTAAGGGCCCTTCCCCCCTCAGAAATGATGATCTTCGGTCAAAAAATCGATTTTGAGATACGCACATGAAAAGATAGCCTGAAGTGTCTACTGCCAGAATCTGTATTGCTTTTGGTTACAAAAGTGATTTTTCCGGGATTTTGAGCAAGTTTTCTAAGAGCCTCGAAAAAATGGGTCTTCAAATAATGGTTTTTTCCTGGATACTTATGCAA